CAAGGGTGCCAATCATCATCATCATTATATGATGCACTCCAAGTGCAAACATATCATATGCACTAATGTGCCATTCATAATGTATAATGTACCATAACTTTACTTTACTTTACTGAATTTCATTGCCTGCCAAGTGTACCTAGACTCTCAATGCAATATACAATGGGGTTCCAAATCATAATATATTCATTTAAATTGAACATTTACAAAATAGATTCATTTTCAAGTCATTATGAAAATCACTATTTAGGTAGTTCATACCCTAAATGATCCATAATCTAGAATACATATACCATATAAAATATTTTGAGTCGTTCTTATCTAAATCAATTTAGAAATTTCTTTCAAATATATTTCCATAAAATATCATATAAAAATGTATTGGGTAATTTCATACCCAAAATAATTCATAAATCATTTCTTAACCTTTATGGAAGTATCCCATAATCTAATTCAAACTTTTCATTTAAAAAATAAATCCTCCGAGGTTGCCTTATCACAAGTCTTCCCCAATCAAAATAACTAAATAAATAAATTGCACTCACCTTTGCCTCACTATTGAACCTATAATACAATATTCTTTTATGCAGGTGTTTTTCTTTTTGCTTTCGAGTCACTTAGATCACAATATTTGTCGTAATTTGTATGACATCACATACATAACACCATTTTCAATTATATGTTAATATTATACTAACATAATCTAATTTCCACAAAATAAATTCTATAAAACATAATCGATGCTAAATCGATATAAAACTAAATCATGATTCCACCATAACTTTAAACTTTCCAAAATAGCTATTTGGTTTAATAAATGTTCATTTCTATCATAAATCCTTCAACTTTTAGAACTTTCGCATTAAAATCAGTATTTATGAATTCATTTTTGAATTGATATCAACTTTTCAATTTAATTCATAATGGTCATTCACCATTATGCTAACTTCAAATTAATTACTAAAATTTCCAGCATATAATTAATACACTCAATCCAATACTTAAATATTTGAAAACTTTCATTTTCATCCTCCATTTTCCTAGCCTTTTCGAATGGAAGCCTTAAATTTAGCAAAATTACATTTTGATTCCAAACATAAACTTAAACTTGAAAATCAACATTCATGTAGTAAATTCTAGCATTGTGGTATCATACTCAAATGATTCCTTCACATTTACAACTTTTCCATCAAATCTCTAAATTTCATAACCATTAGAATTCTAAAATGGAATTTCACCAAATTTGCACTTTAGTCCTAACTCAACATTTTAACTCAAAATTCAACATTCCATAATTAAATTTAAGCATTGAATACCCTTAACTACACAATTATGCATCAATGTCTCAAAATTCTCAAAAATTGCAAAATGGTCCTTTTACGATTTTAATATTCTAAATTGATCTAATGTGATCTTTAAAGCATGTAGAACTAATCTAACATCAATTTTAAACATTAATAAACTTTATGAATAATTTTCCCTAATTAATAAGACCTTGGCCAAACCTAATTATGCAATTAGGGCTTGGTTTTCAATCAAATTCAAGTATGAATACAAACTCTTATGATTTAATTCATGCAATTCCAATCATCCTAACATCAAATTCAATCCAAAATAAATACATTCTCATAAACCCTAGCTTGGCCAAATTGGGTATATGCATTTCTACTTGATTTCAATCATCGCAAAGGCTTGGAAATTAATCAACAACACTAATAACATAAAAATCGTCCTTTAATTATTCAAAATTCAACACGTTCTTCATGAACCCTAATCATGAATTTCATCATCCAAACATGTTTTCCATGAAATATTTACACCAATTGATGGATAATTTCAAGAGGATTAATTCACTATCTAATAGCTTAATCCAAAAATCAATCATGTAAGCTTAAAAATCAAATGAAAATGTTTTTTCTTACCTACAATGGAACCCACGTCTAATCTAGAAGCATATGAAAAAAATCTTGATTTTTCTTTCCAATAATTAACCATACACATGGATGTATAAACTAAATGAATTTAAAATCCATTTAATTCTAATTTACAATTTTGCTATTAATGAACCTAGATAATTTCAACTATTCCATTGCAACTTCTTCAAATTTAATATTCCAAAGTCAAAGATAAACCACTTTAAAGTTGACTTTCTACTTTAGCCATGTAATTTTTGAAAATTGTAATTTAGTCACTTAATTTTCCCAATATCTTCTAAATAGGGAAAATTAACTTCAGTTATGATGATCCACACTAATTTCACTGTTCTAAAATATGGAAATATTATTTCCAAATTCTATATAACATCCTTCAAATTTTTGTGAAATTTCAGTTCGATCTGATTATCCTATTTCTTACCGGACTTTACTACTTTATACCTTTTAATTCAAATCCCAAATCAAAATTCTGATTCCCATGAAAGCATTTATTTCGAGATGAACTATTGGTTTACAAGCCAATATATATATAACTTTTAAAAACTATATTTTTTATCCCTAAACTTTTTCAAATTTATACTTTGGCCACTAAACCTTTAAAACTTACATTTTAGCCATAACCCAAAATTTTGGGGTATTATAGTGACACTTGTATAAACACAACAACCACTTCCTTAAGTCATATTCTAACATTTGCCAAATTTCTATATTCAAAGCGACCAAGAACATACAATTAACTATTTCAATTCACAATCCAACTCATTTAACCAACCATCATCACCACAAATCAAGTTCCACATCACAAAGTATCCTTATTATATCATATGAAAAATCAAATGCCTAGGTTCCAATGGATCCCGTATTTTCATCTCTAAGGAAAACACACATACATTTTATTTCTTATTAACACCTTGATTGATCACATCAAGTGCATGCTCCTTGCCTCCGACTCAGCGACCAATCCTCTGAAAAAGTGTTAAACAACTAGTTTGAACTGAAAAGCCTAGTGAATAACCAACATTATAAGAAATACACAATTCAAAGCTAAATGGAAACCCTATATATAATTACTCCTCACTTGTTTTTACCTCAACATTTATATAAATATGACATGTTAACGTTACACTATGGTTAGACATAAAATTCAGATGGTACACATGTCATCACTTCTCAAATTCCCAATAGCAAACACATGCATAATTACCTCTTCGGTAAGTCACACGTAATACACGCTTTGTTTCTATTAAAGACCAATGGCCTTTATTTGGAATACAACTAACTCGTTGGATAAACGGAATCCATATATCTCCTATTTTATTTGTGGAATCACATAGGTACAAAACCCAAGACTTTTAGAGCAATATCAACGAACCAACCTTACCCCGTAATCTTCTCAGAGCAAACCTCAACGCACCAACCTTACCCCGTAATCTTCTTGGAGCAAAACTCAACGCATAGTTCATCAAGGGTAGTTGTCAAAGTTGCATAGTTTTCACTTATACACTTTCAAACACATTTTGAAACACTATCACTTCTAGTCATCATGATCAACAACACTTATCTGGACAGCAAGAAGGTTAACTTGTCCACTTTCACTTTCACTATTATATACATTCACTTTCAAATACAATTTAAAAAAAACAATATGCAATATCTGCAACACTAATAGCTTCACATCTTATCACTTATTTCACATCATTTAAGTGCATCAGAAAACATTTATTGTTACTAGAATTCATGCCATAGAAATTCTTTAAACAAGTACATTCACAAAGAATGAAAGTCACACACCTTTATTGTCCGCTAAGTAAAACGACCTCCACACACTTAGGAAATGACCTCCAACACACTAAGAACCATTTTTCCTCAACAATAAATTTATCAAACACCATGAAAAGCACGACAATGCATCAATAAGACACTTAAAACAGAGCATAAAATTCTGCTACCCAAGCAGTGAGAAATTCACATAAACAACCAAATAACTTATCGATCTTGCAACCAAAACCTCCTAACGCATTAACACAACTTTATCTCACCAAAAAGTAATCAAGAAAAACTAAAATTAACTCCTAAACATCACATAAATGGTCCAAATTAGCATCGCTAAAATAAATTCTTGGATTCTCAAAAAACACTGAAATCTCATTTATTTTCAAGAAATCAATATCCAAGTCATTATTAAATGAAAAACTGATTTAGTATAATTATAATCATTCCAAAATCATCTCAATTATGTCAAGAAGAACTCAAAATCAACTAAGAAAAATAGCTCTTTAATTAATTATGAAAAATCATCTTTGAATCCAAATTTCATTTTTAGAAAAGATATATTAATTGAAAGCATTAATCACATAAATTGTTAATCGTTGAAGCAAAAAAAAAAAGAAAGGAAGAACCATTACCTTGATGGAAAAACAAATCTTTGCTTAGAAATGATTAAGGGAAAACATGAAAAGATGAAACAATCTTTTCTTAGAAAAGAAATCAAGGTGAAAGATATAAACATAACAACAAAGGAATTGAAAAGGAATGAGAAAGGTTTCAACATGAGAGAAAGCTTGAGATAATTTTGGGAACAAATATATGATATAATTTTGTGAAAAGAAATAATAGACAATTAATCACAAAACTAGATTGAAAATGAGAAAAATATTAGAAAATGAATCTAAAAGGAATTTTTGTGAAAAAGAGAGATTAAGATACAATTAATTTAGGAGGAAAAAGACTTAATACAAGACTTGGTGAAATAAGCATCATATAACTTAGATTTGTGATCTTTATAATTTAGTCACTAAAAACACTATTTTAAAATCATTCAATTTGGTCACTTGTAAAATCAAATAATAAATTTTAAAAAATACAAATACCTGATTTAACATTATTTAAACTAATTTAATAATTATTTAACCACTAAAAATACCAAAATGAATAGTTTACTGAAAATCTGAAAATTGATCCAACTACCAACCTGAAACTACTAACCCAAATTTTGAGACGTTACAACTCTCTCCCCCTAAAAAGAATTTCATCCTCGAAATTACCTTAATCGAAAAATTGTGGAAACTAAGTTCGCATTGACTCTACTGTCTCCCACATCGCCTCCTGAGTATTGCAGTTGCGCCACAATACATTCACTAACGGAACAAACTTATTACGAAACACCTTCACATCACTGGCTAAGATCCTAACTGGCTCTACTTCGTAAGAAAGATCGGTATGAACCTCAACCTCATCCTTCGAAGTGACATATGAGGGATCCGATCGATACCTACACAACATTGGCACGTGAAACACATCGTGAATATACCCCATCTCATGTAGAAACCTAAGATACACAACTGGACAAACGTGCCCTAACACCTCATATGATCCTATAAACCTCGAACTAAGCTTACCCTTACATCCAAATCGCAACACCTTATTCCAAGCCGAAACCTTCAGGAACGCAAAGTCATCTACAACATGCTCATTCTCACGAAGCTTCAAATTAGCATAAGACTTCTTCCGATCAAAAGTAGCCTTCAAATGCTCCCTAATCAACTTAACCTTATATGCTGTCTCCTTAACTATAATTCGGACCAACAACACACGTCTCACTCAACTCAGACCAACACAAAGGAGTACAACACTTACGACCATATAACGCTTCAAACTGTGCCATCTGAATACTCGTATGATAATTATTATTATAAGCAAACTCCACAAATGGAAAATAATGCTCCCAAAAACCAATAAAATATATAATGCAAGCATGAACCATATCTTCCAAAACTTAAATTACACACTATGAATGACTATCTGTCTGCGGATTATAAGATATACTAATACTAAGCCTCAAACCTAACAATTCATAGAAACTCTTCTAAAACTTTAACGTAAAACATGGATCACGATCCAAAATGATCGACAAAGGAACACCACACAACCGCACTATCTATGCTATATACAATTCCACTAACCACTACTATAAAAATATTGTATGCACCAACAGAAAATGCGCATTCTTAGAAAAAATATCGATAACCACACAAATAAAGTCCTCCTATGATGGCGTTAACGCTGTGACAAAATCCACACTCCCACTTCCACTCAGGAATATTAATCTGCTGCAACAAACCTGAAGGAAACTGATGTTCGACTTTCATACGATGACAAACTAAACATTGACCAACAAATTCCACCAGTGTACATTTTAACCCAAGCCACCAATATAATTCTCACAACTCTCGATACATATTTGTACTACCTTGATGCATCACAAACGACACACTATGTGCCTCCAAAAGAATCTCACTCCTTAAACTTGAATCCTCAGGCACACACAACCTACCTCAAACACATAAAACACCCTTAGAATTCAACAAGAACACCACCTAAACCAGTTTATTAAGTTGCAACTTCTCTTCCAACTTTTTTCACTCGATTTCAAATCATGAATACGTTGGGAAAATGTATAACTAATTTGTAATTCGATGAACAATGCTCAACCCTCAGAAAAACTCAAATTTACGAACAAAGCCTGCAACTCACCCATCGATTTACGACTTAAAGCATCGGGAACCACATTTACTTTATCCTGATGATACTTAATTGAACAATCATAATCCTTTAAGAACTCAACCCAATGCCTTTGCCTCAAATTCAACTCCTTTGGTGTAAGGAGATAATTGATACTTTTATGATCGGTGTAGATGATACACCTCTCACTATACAAGTAGTGACGCCAAATCTTTGGCGCAGACACTAGTTTAGACAACTCAAAATCATGTGTGCGATAGTTACGCTCATTCGTCTTTAACTGTCTCAAAGCATAAGAAACCACCCTACCGTCTTGTGCATCGAAGATTGGTAATAGACCCAACACTAAATACCACGAAATCCTTTCCTAACACTGGATGTATTAAAACATGAGCCTCCGTCAATACCAACTGTAATCTTTTAAAAACTATTATGCCTCTCCTCAGTCCACTCAAACTTAACATTCTTTTGCAACAACTTCGTCAGAGGGGCAACAATAATCCAGAAACCTTCCATGAAGCGACGATAATAACTGACTAACCCAAAGAAAATACGAACCTCGGTAACACTCTTAGGCAGCTTCCTCTCAACTATCTTCTTAATCTTATTTGGATCAACACGAATACCCTCAGCTGAAACAACATGACCAAGGAACTCCATCTTACTCAACCAAAACTCACACTTAGAAAACTTCTCATGCAACTGTTTCTCTCTTAACACTTGCAAAACAATCCTAAGATGTTAATCATGCTCCTCCTTCGAACATGAATACACCAAGATATCATTAATGAACAACACCACAAAATGATGGAGATACAGATGACAAACAACAATCATCAAATCCATAAAAACAGTAGGCACATTCATTAACCCAAATGTCATCACCAAGAACTCATAATGACCATTTGTCTTCATTACGTCTGACTTATAAATCTTCAACTGATAATACCCTGAATAAAATTCGATCTTAGAAAACACCCTAGTGCTTCAAAACTAGTCAAAAAGTCATTGATTCTCGGTAAATGGTATCGATTCTTAGTCGTCAACTTGTTCAATGAATTGTAATCGATACACATGGGCATTGTACCATCATTCTTCTTAACAAAAAAAATAAGACCACCATATAGAGAGATATTCGGATGAATGAACTCTCGATCCAACATCTCTTAAAATTTTTCCTTCAACTCTTTCAACTCTTTAGGTGCCATGTGATAAGGGGTAATAGACACTGAAGAAGTATAAGTTTAAATATGAAACTCTACCTCACGATCCGATGATAAACATGAAAGCTCTTTAAGACACATCTGGAAAATCCTTAACCACTTAAATATCTTGCCCATACAACTCATTACCACTCGAATTAAGAACATAATGCAAGAATGCCTTACAACCCTTATCTAATGTCTTACTTTCATCCAATACCGACACCATATTGGAAAGGAATTCTGGACTTTCGCCAATAACAACAAGCTCTACTATATTAGACATCTTCAAGATCGCATGACAACTCAGAGTCTAAGTGAACACGACGCTCAAAGAGCTAATCCGTACCAAAGATAACATCAAACCCATGAAATGGTAACTCCATCAAATCTATTGGAAACATCTCACCTTGAATAACCAAAAGACACCTCGGTACACTCAATTCATGAGTGCACTCTCCCTTAATGCCATATTCACTACCAAACCCACATCCGTAATACTAACATGAACACTCAACAGACTCGCCAAATGACCAAGGATATAATAATGTATAGAACCAGAATCTATCAAGGTGAGCAAAGAAAAAGATTCTAACAAAAAAGTACATGTGATCACATCCGTTGGGGAACGATCCCGAGGCTTACGAATAGTGTATACTCTACCAAGACCACCAATCTCAGATACACTAGCACATCCACAGCCTCTACCCCCAGCACAAACACGACTGTCTCTCTTAACAGGAACATGAGCACTATTACGCAACTCAGCCCTTGATAACTATCGCTTAGATGTCAAAATAAATTCCTTCTTCCTAATAGAATATAAAAAATACGTAGTAAAGAGAAGTAAGGGTCGATCCTCAGGGACTTAGAAAATTCCCAAATTTCTATTTGAATTACTTAAACCAAGCGATAAATAGTAGATAAAAGGGGGTTTGGTAAAAATGATTAAATAATAAAAAGCGATTTAAAGTAAAAATAAAAAAATAAAGAATGTAAAGTTGAAAATGAATATGGTAAAAACAGCCTCAAGCCTCCCTTTAACTCAATTTCTTTCGGATCATAAAAATAGATTTTCTCTTCGGGATTCATGTCAGTTACTTTGTTTACAAGGACAATCCTCTTGACTTAACTTTGTATACAGAATACCCAAGGCAGTCTTTGATTCCGGCTTTAGAAATTTATATGAGCAACATCAATTGTCATAGATCAATAACCGTTTAAGATATTGAAGACTGACTCGGATTGTTGTTTCAATGACTACTAATTTCGATCTCAATTCCCTCCCGACAATGAAATCTTGCCAAATGTATTCCCAGGAAGTCGAATGTGCTTTCATTAAGCTGATCCTTCCTCCCACACATTTAATTGCAACAACATCTTGACCAAAGTCAATCTTTGATTTTGAAAAATGTTTTGATTTTGAAAATAAGCGCATAGATTAAGAGAGATATTCCAAAGTTATTCAAGTGCTTTTCAATTTTCATGTTGGAATTGAGTAATCGCTTAAGCTCTCGGCTTGTGAGAAAATTAGCTAAGAATGAAAAAAGCCATACTTAGCATGTTTAAAAATAAAACTTAAAATAAAATAAAAATAAAACTTGAAAAGAAAAGAAAAGAAAAGAAAGAACTTTATAAAACTAGAAATAAGAAGAAGAGTAAATATTGAGTTATATGTTTAGGCTTACCCAAAGAGCGTATTTATAGCCTTTAAAACCCTATAGATAATCATAGAAATTAAAATTAAAATAATCGTAAAGGTAATTCTAAATGTTTTCCAAATTCAAACTTTAAAATTAAAAATAAATCTCTTAATATATCTGCATGTCTACCTTCCAAAAGGCGCTGACTAGATCTTCTAGAAAACTTCTACTAACTGGACCTTCTAGAAACTGCAACGTTAGACCGTGTCATTCCCAGAGTCGTGCCCATGTCTCTAGCCGTGACCAAATAATAAAAAAATGCAGAATATGCCCTGTTTACTGCTAATTCTGGAAAGTAAGATCCTCACAAAAATAAGCATAACACAACCAAATCAGCAACAATAAATCCATAAGATCGAAGATTTAACAAGCAAATATTATCGATTTAGAACACTCATTAGCCTTATTCGAACAATCTCGCAACTGATGACCAACATCTCTACCAAGAAAACAACCACCAATGAGTCTTTAAAACTCAATACTTGCCTCTGGTTATAAGTCGAACAAAGAAGAGATTGTTGCCAATCACCCGCAAAAGTAGTCATCCTACTGAACTGCCTATATCAATCTCCCTGTCTCTTCCCAGAAAACTCAGAAACTAAACCACAACTAAGAGTACTCTCAATGTGTCTATCCTAATCCACTAAAATATTGAACACCTCTGAAGAACCAGTAACCAAGTAAGAATAAATATCCCTCTTGAGACCATCCTTGAACCTCTTACAACTTTCCAGCTCTATTGGAACTATCTCCCTAGCATATTCGGTCAAACGAACAAACTTCGCCTTATACTCATATATCGACATACGTCTCTAAACCAAATCAAGAAATTTCTTCTTCCTTGCATCAGTATATTGCAATCCCATAAACTTTCACCTAAACACCTCCATAAAATATGGCCAGGTACACCTATTTACAATGACACTCCACTTGATCATCATCAACCAACGATTTGCATCACCTTGAAGCAATGATACAACACATCCCAACTTCTCACCATCAGGACAATCCATCTGATCCAAGATGCACACAACACTCTTGAGTCAATCTTCAACAACTATCGACTCAGTCTAATGAAAACCACAAAGCTTAGCACCCAAAACTCTAAGATACTCTAGCAGTAAACCTCTACCCTCTAGTACTAGCGTAGGAGCAGGTGCATCCTCAGGGACAACTCGACGAAGGGCATAGATGATTGCTTCGGTTAACATATCAAAAAGAGGGTTGGATTATGGAGTCACTGGTAGGGGTCCATTGGTACCACTTTTGATATCGATTTTATTAGATATGGTGGTAGGCTAGTTACTTTCAGGGGCACCAAAATTAGCACGATGCGGCAACATCATAACTATAATAAACAACTACATAATTAAATAAACAAGCTAAGAAGCACACCTGTGATCAAGGAAGAATCTGCAATAATTTTTAAAACATTTATAAAAATGTGGTTCCCATTTCCAAACCCAACACATAATACATACAACACCATCAACTTTCAAAACCTGGCTCTGATACCAACAAATGTAACATCTCATACCTAGTCTAGAAGAAAAACTCGGATACTTGAGCATACATTAGATTTCGATCTTGTTAGACAAAATAGAATCCTAAAACATGTGCACTATATGGAAGCATACAACTAAAATTCAATCATAATGCAACACATGGTAGTGGTTAACAAAAAAGATTTGAAATCTTAAAACAATCAGAGCAATGCATGATAATCGCAATAGATAGACAATGATACAACAGTCATTTAGGAAGTCTAAAAATTTCATGATCAAACTATCAAATTAAGTTTACCACTATTCATTAATGATGCTAGATTAATGTCATTCAAATTTTTAGATCAATCGGACATCAAACAGGGACCTAATTGAGCATACATTATGACTAAAACGTAAATAATTCAAAAGTTGCACATGACCAACAAACATGAAATTAATTCTTCCATTATGCAATTAATTTTGTTTAAGGGTGACAAAGCAAATCTCATGAAATCCCAAGTTACGGTTTATTCTCAATTAACATTTCATATTCTGGACCATATTGAACTCATACAAACATTCTGGGGTCATACTAAGACTGTGGAACACTTTAGACTCTTAATGAATATAATTCCACCTTTTTTATCAATCTCAACAACAAAAGGACCTATCCTTTTTTGAAAGGAATTGGTCTTTTTTCATAAGGGATCGATCCTTTGCAAAATAATGAGTTTGGGATCGATCTTTCATGGCAGGGGATCGATCCTTTTTATGATAAAGTACAAAATTCTCTAGAACATGCATGTTAATCAAACTAAACTTCCATACAATCAATCCTAGAGACTATATGCATGCTTGTACACTATTAAACCACATCATACGTGTAAAAATACTCTTGTAGCATGCTTTATTACATAAGTCACAATATCACACGAGCATTTGGCATCAAAAAGTAAAACATTGCCTAAAAGTTCATCTTTAACACAAGTCACCTAGTCTAATTATGCATTTTGGGTCATTTCAAGCATTCTAAGAGCCCAATATGTTTGGTTCACTTAGTGACACTTGTATAAACACACCAACCACTTCCTATAGGCATATTTCAATATTTGTCAAATTTTTATATTCAAAGCAACCAAGAACATACACTTAACTATTTCAATTCACAATCCAACCCATTTAACCATCATCACCACAAATCAAGTTCCACATCACAAAGTATCCTTATTACATCATATGCAAATAAAATGTCTACGTCCCCAGTGGAT